TGGTTATAACAAGTCCATGTAAGAACTGTAAGAGCCAAAAAGTAACATGCTTATTAACTGTGGGCTACTCTGCTATATACATAGAGCTCAGAGATCACATGGGGTTTCCATAGTCCCGTTTAAGCTAACGTTTCCTTGGAGCCCAGTTCTTAAAACCACTTAGGAATTTCAAGATTTGTCTTGAAAAAAATATATATATCATATTTCCATGACTTTGCCTGAACACAAATTGAGAAAGCTCACTGAACGCAAACCACCCTGGGGGACAGGAAATGGCCATTGTTTTCAAAGAAAAGCAAGATGTGTCTGCGTACAGGAAATCAAGCTGGTTTTTGGAGATTGATCTCAACTTTCCCCACACAAGCCCATGTGTGCTGTGTAGACGGCTCCACATTTTACCTCCCCCTTGGGAGCACCGAGGGGAATAGAAACACGGGCACTTATCATCCAGGTCGAAGGCTTTCTATTCAAAACGGCCACATGAATGCATCCAGAGAAGCATATCCCCTTCTTTTTTCACATTTCATTTCATTTTAAAGTATTCAGGGATTTACAGGGATTCAGAATAGGCAAGTTGTGAGTCTCCGGGGAGACCTGGCAGGGCTCCCCTCCACCCTGCGCTTCCCCACATGTGGAGTCGGCTGCAGCAGTGAAGCCTTCAGCTTCATGTCATCTTTCCCTGTGAACACTGGCTGCATCCATTTTTGATTTTTTTTAAATTCTTGCAAGTAAAATATTATTAAGAAGCAAGACCCAGGACCCCCACTCCCCAAAAAAGGCTTAGATGTGGTCCCAGCTGTACCACAGACCTTCCAACAGAGATTGGCAAGGAGGCCAGACCTAAGCCCGCCTAGCATTTGCAGAGGACTTTGTTAAGGGATGAGTTTTTTGAGAAAGTGCTAAAGGCTGGTCAGTGGCTAATGCGATGGCTACACTATAAAGCAATAAAGAGCATAGGAGCCTAGCCAACCGTTTTTATTAAAAAGCCCATCCCGATTGCCTTGCTTCCATCCTCAAACCTGACAGGGGAATAGTAGAGAATCCCTATGGTAGCGTTCCTGCCTCATTGTCAGAGCCTCTTCTGGGCGCATTCCTCTCTGAATGAAGGCTGGAAGGGGTGAAGCCTGTGTCAAAGTCCCTAGCATGAGAACTGCAGGAAGGTGACGCTGTAATTAACCTGAGCAATATTTCAAGTCTTGCTAATATATTTTTTTTTCTGTCAGTTCAGACAGTATTCATGGTGTGGTTTCAAAAATTAGCCTTGGAGGTTTGTGAATCTATTGAAATTAAAAGGATAAAGACGTGATGGCGTAAGAAGAATCGGTCGGTGCTCTTTAACATTTTCTAATATTGCTTTAACAGTTTCTAAACGGCAGCACCGCAGCCTCACTCCGTTCACGTCCTAGACTCTGCAGCAAAATCCGTGATTATTATTTAAGGATCACGGTGATTCCCTTCACTGCATGGGGGAATAAAGAAAAGCAAAAGCAGGGCTATTATCCTGTGTTTATAACAAGTCTATTACCATAGTAACGCCTGTGATGTCACAAATGCTACACCCAGGGCCAGAAGCTGTCTCCGAGGGGGAAGGGCAGCTTAGCTTTGGAAAACGGGCACAAGCATGTGAGGCCAAAGCAGGGTCAATACCGAAGTAATCACGGAAACATGGGGAGATCCCTCCTCCAGAGAAAAGGAGGGGGTGGGGCAGGACCAGAAGAGCAGTTCCCCAGCCCAGAAGTGAGCTCACCCACACTTGTACGCAGCTGTGCAAAGGGAGTGGAAATCCAAGTGAATGTGGTATCTCTGTGTTCCCAGTCACAAGCATTCCACTGGGTTCACTGGCTGCCAAGACGTGAATGGGATCCAGTGGTGAGTCTGCCCCAGCTCATGGACCGGCTGAGAACCAGCACTTGCCCAGACAGTCTCTCACATCTGGGAGAGATGCAAGTGCCTCAGATGGCAGCCCTTGAAAGCTAGGATTTTCCTCTAAATGACCATGGGACTCATAGGCCCACAGCGCCTCAGGGACAGTGAAGAAGTCAGGTCTCTCCTGAACATAGGGACTTACAGAATGGGCTTGCAGGAAGAAGCTGTATCCTGCCACTGGGGAACCTAGAAGTGACAGCATGTTGATAAGCATTGCTACTCTGAAACAGTTTGAAATGAAACGGCTACTTTATATGAAAAAGAATGCTGGATTGGGAGTCGGGAGACCCTAAGGACTTGGAAGACACATGATCCAAGGGAGTTATTTAACCTGCTTGAACTTTGTGTCTTTAATGACACCCAACATGCTATTTCTCAGAGTTGCTATAAAAGCTGAATTAAATAAAAGAACGAGAATGAGGACCAACGAGATGGCTCAGCAGGTGAAGAGCTTGCCGCGGGAGAATGGTGACCTACGTTCGAGTCCCAGAATCCGCACAGGTGGAGTGAGCCAGCTTCACAAAGATGCCCTTTGACCCTTCACCATCGCACATGTTCCACACACATCATCACACACACGCAAGTTTAATTTTAAAAAATTCACTCAGCGAACGCTAGAGTAGACCATTTGCGGGCCCAGGAAAAGCACTGCTTCCCTGCCCCGTCACAGCTCAGAATATTCCAGAACACCTGCCACATGCACAGCCTGACTCTGAAGGCCTGCTCAGTTCGCCGCTACCGCGAGAACTCACTAATCTGTCCTGCCTAGCGTGACATTCAGCCAAAGTCCCGCCCACCACATGGTTTAAGTTTCATTTTTTGGTAAATAGGGTTTTGTTGGAACACAGCCACACTCCTTGATGCATGCATCATCTAAGGTTGCATTCCTCCTACGGCAGCAATGTCCCGGGTAGCTGTGAGAGACAGTATGACCCACAAAGTCTAAAGTCCTGCCAGGCTCTCCACAAGAAAGGTCTACTAGCCTGGCCCTAGATTAGGAAATCAACAGTGGTCTCTTTGGGTGAGTTTCTGCTTGGTGCGAGTTAGAAGGTGGAGAACATCCGGGATCTTGTCACACGGAACCTCGAGGCAGACAGGGAAGGGTTAGAACGAATACAGAAAAGTAAAGACGTCCGTCCCTACACTTTGTGTTCCACAGAGGAGTGCCTTGGAGTTCCACAGCAGACAGCAGAAAACCACTGGTGTTTGGTTACCCTGGCTTCTAATTCCTCAGAGTTCCTCCGGCTACGACTTCCAAGGCTCAGTTTTTGGCCTCTCTCCTTTTGCATATTTATTTCCTGATCTTATGTGGAATTAGAGTTAAATAGAAGCTGTGTGCTTGAATTCCACGTGGCTGGCTCCACAGGAAACTTCAGGGCAGGTTCTCTGGCCTCACTCCTGCTTGCCTCAGCTATGCTAATTTCTCAAACCATTTTCTTTGTTCAAAGAAATCTGGGAGACGGATTTGTGTCTGGATACACACCTTCCTATGCACAAATCATGTGCATGAAAACTCTAGTGCAGATTAGGGCTCAAAAAGAAAAAAAAGAAAAGGAGGCACCCTGTTTGCTACCTAGCTCTCCTGTGGTGGCTATCCTAGGACACCCTCATCTCCCCAGCTCCAGGAGGTAGGAGTGTGAGCCCGGCTATAAATGAGGGACTGAAAGGAGCAGAGCGGGCAGAACCTGTCCTCTTTCACAGTGCTGCTAGTGACAAAGCCTGGATTTAAACCCAGGTTTTCTCAATCTGAAGCCTGTGTTCCTGCTACATTGTCACACCCACTAATTAACACACTTGAAGCCCTCATCTAAGCCACAGAATATTCATTCAGTTGGGAGCACTACATTTACAAAATTACCTACCCTTTCCTCGCCAAGTAGCCTACGCAAAATATGTCTTTGGTCCTTATAAGCTCTAGTCCCTCTGTATCATTAAAACAATCAACCAAAGGAAAATGAGATCACCAATAAGGGAAATATTACATGATTCGCCAATTATGTCAGCAATTAGCACTAACAATGAGTTTAATAACAAATGAGTCTTAATTTAATAACATAACTAGTGGCCTCTGTACGATAGATCAGTTTTATTTGTTAAAATATAGTAGGCCAACAAGAGAATGTGGTCAAAGCCAAGAAGGAATGCTTAAAACAATGTATAAATACACTGTAACTCAAGCTGAGGAATCTGTGCTGAAAATGCCCTCACTGTTTATGGAAGCATAGTCAAACATCTGTCCTCTCAAATCTGAACACAAGCATTAATGTTCGCACGTTACAATAAATACTGCTATTATAACTCAGTATTTGTCGATGTTCAATTTGACACACACAAAAATAACTAGCAATAAAATAAAGCATTCTAGCGTAATTCCACCATTTTACGGCAAGCCAGAGTTCTCCTGAGTATTTGCATGAACTACGTCTGGAAGCTACAGAGAACACCATCAGCTCCACCCTCCACCACCAAGATTTAATGCACAGTCACCTAATTTTCTGGAAACATAAAACAACCGATTACATTTTCATGCAAGTGGAACTCAGATTTCCGTCCTTGTAAGAGCTCAGAGACAGCTTTCCAGGAATTGGAGAGGATTCTGCGGAGACGAGGCGTCATACAACTGGTTTCTTGAATGGATTTAGAGGAAGGCGCGTGCAGGAACGTGTCCGCCACATGTCTTCTTCCAAAACCGTCCCTTTCCTCAGAAAACCCCAAAGGCCTGGCCCTCCTTATGCACCACCCTGTTCGATCATTTTGTTAACCAGTCATTGTATAGATCTTATTCTAAAGGAAAAATAAAAACCAAAGTAAGTGACTACAGAGAAGGAAAGGATCTTTTTCTGAGTCTGGTGGAGAAAAGGTCTGGAATCAGTTGAACGCTACAGCCCAAGCAGAAATAGATAAGGAAATTTGGGGGATAATAGCAATAATTCATTAAGCAATATAAGAACTAACACTTATCTATAATATTCATCAAGCCATCTCCATTTAAGTTGAGTTTTTAATAAACTATCTAAGACAGCGAAAACGATTGCATACGGACTGTTGGGGCTGGGAATCCCAATAGTGCTTACCTGCTGGCGGCTTTATGAAAGGTGGTGGGATTAAAGGTACAATAATGGGCACATTGCCATGGTCCTTTGACCCTGCAGGTGAGTCACTGAGTCCATTCCCAGTGGCAAGGCCTGAATAGCCTGCGCTTATATTGTATGATGAAATAACACTGTCCTCCGGTAATTTTGGTTTTGGCAAGGAATTTTCTGTAAGAGAAAAAAAATCATTCAATATAACCAAGAACTTATTCATTAGACTTAAATTTTTTCCTTATTTCTTTAAGTACATTGGTTATGTAACAGAACAAAATTTCCCTTGCAAACCTTTAAGCAATTTCCCAGAACTCCACAATCCATCCTGAAGCTTTATAGTTTTGCTACCAGCAATTTCCAAAGGGCTTTTCTTTATAATTTGCTCCACTATGATAGTTAATATCCCAGTTGAATCTTCGTGATGAATTTTAGCACTGTAAAATCCCATAGAAAATGGAGAGGCAATTAACCTTTTCTATGAACAAAGCGATATATAGCAAGCATCACTCCCTGGCAATGGGGAAAGCCTAGATGTATCCCAGAATGGTAGCTCTGTCCCACTGCATTATAAATCTAAGCCATGGTATAATCAACTGAACCAAACGATTACATGAAAATACAACAACAACAAAAAAAAACTACTATTGCACTGGGTATTGGTAATGTCCATTAAAATTAACAAAAATGGAAATAAAATTTACACACAGATATCCTTGTATCACGCAGAGAAAGAGGGAAGGGAGGGGTGGGAGAGAAAGAGAGAACTTCAACCATGAGAAGCATGGGACTCTTCCCATGTTCCCCAGAGACAGACGATCACCCAGGCGAAGGACTACTGAGGCTATTAGTTTATAGAATATAAGCTCAGGACTTGCATTTTTCATTTACAGCAAAATTGATGATACTATCTTCATAACGTGATGTGCACAATTTCATAGCAAGCTTAACATAAAATTTGTCATGAAGATTCAATTCCACATGCCTGCAGGACGGCTCATTTGCATTTCATTGGCGTATAAGAAGAAAAGCTCTTTCTTAAAGAAGGGAATGAAATATCTGAGCAGGTATTTTGCCAATAGATTTTGATGCAACATAAACACTGAGCCAATAGCCAGTGACAAAGAACAGTTAGTTGTATCCACATTTTACCAAAATTTCTTCACACATTCTCCCTCTTTTATCTTAGACACAGACTCGCTTTCCAAATTTAGGTTTGCTAATCCTGGAGTCACACAGGCTTCCCACTTAGGCGCTCAGCTCTGCTGTCCACTCAGAATCCGTGTAAATTCTGTTCTGCCATTCCTCCGCAATTGCCACGCTCTAGCTGGACTTTGATCTAACCATCTACAACTTGTTCTGCTCTTTACCCTCTGCAGGAGCATGGGGCAGCAAGAAAGAAAGGGAAGCCGGCACACAGAAGGAAAATAAGGCTTCCTTTTAGAATTCCCATCCAAACACGGGGGGGGGGGGAGCTCACAAGCCAGCAGCGAATACCCTCTGCTATCTGAACATACAAAATCTGGCATTGCACTTCCCAGAGCGCCCCAGCCCCCAGCACTGTTTCTCTAACTTGCGGCAGGACTGCAGCCTTAAGGTCCTCGGTCCTGGCCTGTTTTCCCATCGCTGGAAGGACGCAGAGCTGGGTCTATTTCTGTTTTCTGTTGAGCTTTGATGTTCCGTGGAACTCCGCTTACAGGAAAGCACAACCGGGAATACATCTAAAGCGATTCTTCTGGAACCATCCCACCCTAGCTCCCTTTCACCCAAGGAATTTCTACGCAACACGAAGGGTATAGGTATATAAAATATGCACACAAATCAGACATTTGCTGATAACACATCATAAAGTATTATCTTAAAACAATTCCTGTATCATTGTACATGCAATTTTGCCATTTATTAAAGATGAAAGCGACTGTGTATATTAATGAGAGGGATGTACTTGTGTACTTGTGTAATATGTGTATATTAATGAGACGATGTACTTGTGTACTTGTGTAATATGTGTATATTAAAGAGACGATGTACTTGTGTAATATGTGTATATTAATGAGACGGATGTGCTTGTGTAATTTTACATAGGGAAGTAAATCTTGGATGAATATCTGATACAATGTGATACAGAACACCATCAACATTTCTCAGTGTTGATCTATATTTTGACTTGTAATCAATGTCAGGAACCCCACTGCACAGAATGCATAGGACAGAACGGCAGGAGCATGTTTACAGTCATTTTGGAAATTATTGGAAATTCTGTCCTAATCCCAATCCAAAATTTAATGATTTCCTTTTTTTAAAAAAAATGCAATTCAAGTCAGCTATGCAGATGGCATTTTTAAAAAGCTAGAACCCTCATCCAGAACATCAACAGATGGAAGCAGATGCAGAGATCCACAGCTGACCACCAGGCTGAGCTCCCGGAGCACAATCAAAGAGAGGGAGGAGTGATAATAGGAACAAAGGGGTCAGGACCATGGTGGGGAAATCCACAGAATTAGCTGACTAGACCTAGTGGGAACTCACCGATTCCGGACTAGCTAACAACTGGGAACCTGCATAGGACCAGACTAGGCCCCCATTCGGCAGGTGACAATGGTGTGGTGTGGGCAGTACATGGAGCCACTGGCAGGGGGACCAGAACCTAACTCTCATTCATGACCTCACTTTGTGGAGCCCATTCTCTAAGGAGAGATACCTTGCTCAACGGAGGCACTGGGAGGGGAGACCTTGGTCCTGCCTCAGCGAGGTGATGAGACAGGCTTAGCTGACTTCCCAGGGGAGGCCTTACCCTCTCTGAGAAGCTTATGGGGAGTGGGGTAGTAGGAGCGGGAGGAGAAGAAGGAGGGGAACTGGGACTGGTATGTTAAAAAAATAAATAAATATTTTTAAAAGCCAAATATTCCAAGATAATAAATCCAAAATTGTACTAATTTGGCACTTAAATGGTGAGGAGTAACATTAGAAATATTAAGACTTTGCTTTCCAAAATTAAGCAACGATATTTCTCCAAGAGCAGAGAACTTTGTATTTATGGTAGGAACACTGCAACTCACAACAGACTATACTCTTGCATATGAACTAAGGTGTTTCAGGAGGCATCTGTTGTCGCTGTACGACATGACAGCCTGCACGGGGCAAAGCACCCATGTTCAGAACCAAGGCCGCAGAGAAGTCACGTGATGCATCACACGCACACGCCGCACTGCCAGCAACACCTCAGACGCGTTAGGTGTTGATTTGCGTGAATTCGGGGCCACCATAGCTTCAAAAACCTTTTACCGTTGCCAAAGTTTGCACAACTCCCACACTCAGTTCCTCAGTCCCATATGGGTCACAGCCCACAGTATGAGGACCTGAGGTTTAAGCTGCGTGTGTGCATGACAACCAAAGGAAACCCACAGCAATTCCACTCTGGCAGGGGGAGACAGTTCGTTCTCCTTTGCATGAGCAAAGAGCCTTTACCTTTGAGAACAGAAATGTGCTGCCGGCTCTCCCCATCAGTAGGGTAGCTCCTGAACTCAATGTCTTCACCGTCTTTTAATTCAACTTTGTCATAGCCGTACCAGCCAAGAAGTTCATTCATGGTGTTCTCTGCAAAGTTCTGAAAGGAGAAACAGAAGCTGCCACTCAATTCCATAATCAATAATTATTTGGAAAGAATGTACAAGTTAAATTCTGTTAGCCGTATCCCATTTCATGGCAGCCCCACTTCCCCTGGAGGACCGTTCACTTTTCAATCATGTTCAAGGCTGTAATGCATTTAAATCACAGGATGACTCATCCAATTATGACAGGCCTTCAGACAGTGGCAATCTAAAGACGATAAAAAGGTACTTGTCGATTTCATCTACGAGCAGGAAGTCGTTCTTTCGCGTGTTCTCCTGCAATGTTTAAATTCTGCAGTGATACAAAAATATTGAAAGGAAGCACGCAGAAGAAATAAGAGAAAGTTTTGAAAATAAAAATGAGCTTTTCGTAGTTCTAAATAATTTAAATTAGAATTGCTTTCTGACTCAGTGTTGTTACTGAATGTGCCTCTTACTACAAATAAAACAGCCTCAACAAAAACATAATTTCTCAACTGTCAGTCAGTACCGTGCAGAAAAACTGACTGGATTTCAAGGGTCCCTTCTTACGATTTTCGTTTTGCAAAAGTATTTGTTAACTTGATGGATACTTTGTTTTCTAAATGATGCTAGTGACAGACTCATTCTCTGTGAAATCAAAGGTCACTACGTCTTCTAATCAGTGATATAAAAATGCCAACAAACTTGAAGTCAGCTAGATTTCGGGTAAAATTACTTTCTCAACTCTAAGCTAATATGTGAATGGAAGATGTCACTGCTGTTATCAGAGATATCAAAGTGGGCATGGTTTACAGATTCAATACTTATGCCAAGTGACAGTGTCTATCAGTTTATCAATTGCTAGATCCAGAAACAAAATGTGAGCCTGCATGCTACTGATCTTTATACTCAAACAGCTATCAAGCAACCACAAGCCTTCTCCACGGAACTAGGAAAAACTATATATCCTAACTTCTTTGTAGCTCAGAGAACCTTATATTACCCTTCCTAGATATTGTCATTTCTGAATTCCACTGGGAAATATAATTTATATACCAAAGTGAAGCACCAAGGCTGAGCCTGAAGGCGGGAACCCTCAACATGTGTTTCATGTTTTCTTAAATGCTCTGACTTCAGATCTCAGAAGGGTTCCATAAAAGATATTACAGTGTTGAGCCCACAGAAATAAACCTGGCATTTCAAATCACCCACGGGATGCTACATTTTCCCCCTTAGTACCCACTGAAGTTCTAAGATCCAACTATGATGCTTTAGTACACCAGCAATTAAAAAAAAATAGCCAGATTGATTTAGTGCCACCATCCTCGTGGCTAACAGCCAGCCATATCAAACTTTAGTGGGGCATTTACTCTCTCTGATGGATGGCCATGCCCACGTGAAATAGACATTCTTCCCATGAACGCACAAAGATGACATGCTCGCTATGAATACTAAGCGTAGCAGCTTCAGGAATACCACTGAGGAAAACTGGGCTAAGTGTTGTTCCATTTAATCAAAGGAGATTCCTTTAATGAGATGCAGCTCTTCCCTAAGACCTGTTTCTTTCACTAACCCCAAAATGAGAGTATCTCAGCACACACACACCAAGGTCCTCTACCAGAGGTCTGGCAGTAGAAATCTCCGAGGCTGATTCTTGCCTTGCATCAAAATCTATCCCCAAAAGTATTAAAAGCCAGACTCAAGCAGTCCTGTTGGGCTATTTGCTGCTTGCCCCAATCTCTAGGAGAACTGCGCCAGGAAGATGGATGTTCTTCTGCGTAGCACGCCCAGCTACTACATCTGGTTTGGTGCACCCTTTCCTAGTTCAGTCTGAAGGCTCGTTGGTACCCTACTTGCAAGACACTACTTTCTCCACTGTTTCTACATTCTGAAGTCACACAAAGGCTACAGATGCATAATTCATGCACCAACCTCCCAGCTGAGGAGATAGATTTGCTTGTTTCAGTCCAGCTGCAAATTCATTCATTCATCCTTCCAGAGCCAATCTGAGGGATCCAGGCAGAGTTTTCAGACATCAGATAAAAACTGAAACCTCAACTGGATTATTGACACCAAAGTCATATTATTTGGACATTTTAACAAAAACTCAGTTTTATTTATGTTTTCTGTTGGAAACTCAGAGCCATCATGGAACAGTCAATATGAATTTGATCTATTCCATGATTTTCGAGTTACTATAAATGTCAGGGAAGTAACTACAAAAGGTTCCTTTTCTTGTCGCTGAAAATGAAAATAAATGCCATATTGTTCTGATATATGAGTGCAGGGGCAGGAAACAACAGGCATATAGGAGCTCAAGTGATAAATCTCAAACCGTTTGAGAAGGAAGGAACATGGTGAAAGAGAGAAATAGAATATACACACAATTGAATATGCACACATGTACACACACATATACATACATACATACATACATACAAATAGAGAGGCTAGAGAAATGGCTGAGCAGTTAAGAGCACTGGCTGCTCTTCCAGAGGACTCAGGTTCAATACCCAGCACCCACAAAGCAGCTCACAACTGTCAGTAACTCTAGTTCTAGAGGGATCTGAATGCTCTCTTCTGACCGCTATGGGTCCTGCACACACAGGACACAGACATACATGCAGTCAAAACACCTATTCACATAAAACTAAATAATAAAATTAAAACCGAAAAGAGATAGACAATAAACTCTGCCATACCCACTATTGAGTTAAGAAGTCAAAGATCCTCGGGCATAAAACATTGAATAGCCTGAGTTTCTAGATAGAGTTTAATATGCTAGAGAGCACATGGACATATTGCAAACCAAAATAGATAGAAGCGATTTTTGCCATTGTCACCTAACACTCCAGGTGATGGAAATTATGAAATGTTTACGGCCTAGACATGTTTTCAGCCCTTTCTTGCAGAGAGTTCCAATAACTCTTGCTTCAGCTGTCAATAAACAAACAAAAATAAATAAACAAACAAACAAAACAGGGTTTCTCTGTGAAGCTCTGACTAGCATGGACCTTACTGTGTAGACCAGGTTAACCTCAAACTCACAGAGATCTGCCCCTGAGTGCTAAGATTAAAGTCACACCTTGCTTCGCGTTCCAGCATTCTTATAGGATTGTCCTTTAAAATGCAATTTTTATATAAAAAGTTGTCCTTTCTTATGTTGTTTCTTGTTTGTTTGTTTAAAGGGAGATGGGCAATATGCAAGCAAAGGCAGCAACACTTCTTGATAAGAGGAGACAGGTGCTGCTGTGTTGGGGCAGGGGGACAGGGGTATGAAGTGTACGTCCTCGACCCTTCACACAACGTTTCTCCGGAAGACCTAAGGCAGGAAATATCTCCACAGTAAGAGTTCCCGCTGCTCCTTCAAAGGACCCAAGCTCAAATACCAGCATCCACATAGCAACCAGAAACCATCCATAGCACCAATGCCTGGGACTCGGATGCCCTCTTCTGGCCTCCAAAGGTACCAGGCACACATGTGGCGCACAGACATACATGTATGCAAAACACCCTTACACATAGAATAAATTTGCTGTAGAAGTTCCTCCTAGCTTTAGAATTATATGAAATCAAGGAACTTCTTCTTATGTGAAAAAAACAAAGCGGTTTTTGCAAATAAATGTCAAAATGATGGTGACCACACAAGCCCGAACTCCACTGAGCAGTCATTATTTCAAATACTTTATCGTTGCTCTCAGGAACCACCAAAATGTGCCAAAAACTGCAATATTTTGGCAACTGAATTCTATTCTGCAGACTGTTTTCTTGCCTTTGGAAGAGACACAAAAATCCTCTCTCATACTATGTGGTCCAATTTGAGTTTGGAAAATAGGTCACTAAAATTAAAATGCTAATTTCTAAGGCTTAGAGCACTTTGCAGTGTTTCCACGTCATTTACATCTGTGTTTCTCTCGACAGGCCTGTGTGCTGGGTGCTTAGTCTCCACAATAAATTCCTGGTGAACTGAAGTGAAATCCTCATTTGACAACAGAAAACCGGAGCATAGATCATGGAGCATCAAACCAAAACAGAGGTCTTCCCATTCTTTTTTCTCTAACTTAATTTTTCTTAATTTCATATGTGATGACTATATTTACACCATTTCCACCCCTCTTTCTTCCCCCTCCAACTCTACCAGTGCCCCAAAACTCCTCGTCAAATGTATTACCTCTTCTGTATTATTGTTACATATATAAACATACATAAACACTCACACATGCGTGCACACATCACTGGGTCCATTTTGCTATAGTGCATATGTCACTGGGATTGGATAATATCAGACGATTTCTCCCTGGAGAAGACTACTTCTCCCTGTCTCAGCAGCCATTAACTGCAGGTAGCTCTTCACTTAGGGGTGGGGCCTTGTTCCTGGTGATGTCATTATGCAAATCTTGTTTTGGCATCCACATTGTTGAGACTAATATTCTGATCCATTTATTTATTTTGGTTTTTCGAGACAGGGTTTCTCTGTGTAGCAGTCCTGGCTGTTCTAGAACTCACTTTGTAGAACAGACTGGCCTCAAACTCACTACCTGCCTCTACCTCCCAAGTGCTGGGATCAAAGGTGTGCACCACCACGGCCTGGCCCTAATCTTCTGATTCTTATGCCAAGCTTAATTCTACAATCGATTCAGTGGCAAAGGAGTCAATTTACCTCCTGGGTCAATCACGAACTTACAAAGAAATCGTACCATGAAATGTCAACGTTATCAAGTGATTTCCAACCAGAATGCATCTGCCTCTGTTGAAATTTTGCTTGCATTTGGAGTGGATTGTTGGCCTGTAGTCTTCTTAATTAGCTGTATTGTTGGAGATGGGTTATTCAAAATTCACAGCTAAAACTGAATCTTCTCCTGGTGCAACTTTTTGACATCACGTGTGGCTGAGTGCTTTGTCCTCTCAACAGCCACCCCATCTCTTTCTTATGTTCTCTTATTTCCCTTCCTTATCTCTGTGGCTCCGAGGAAAAGATCACAGTCCTATCATTTAGTCTGAAGGCAGCTCTCCTAGAGTAAATAAACAGCTAGGTCATAGATATGTAGGAAGAAATTTCCCTGCTTCTTCATTCCTTCTTTGTCTTTCTTTTATGTATGGGGGGAGTGGGTGTGTGTGTGCTTACCCACACTCATGCACCTGTATGTAAGCGCATGTGCATGTGTGTTTGGAGAACAGGAGGAAGCTGGAGTGCCCTCAATTGCTTCTCCACAGGACTTCTTTTGAGATAGGTTCTCTCAGTAAACCTGGAGATCACCAATTCAATTAGATTTGGCGCCTATAAAACCCCATGAGTCCTATTTCTGCCCCTGAGGCTCTTCAGAGCTGAGGTTACAGGCATGCATGCTGCACCTGCAGTTTTATTTGGGTTCTGGGGATCTGAATCCAGGTTCTAAGACTTGCAGTTTTACACACTAAGACATTTCTTCAGCTGCTCTTTACACCTCCAAAGCTCTTTTGATAGTAGCAAACTGTGTGTGTGTGTGTGTGTGTGTGTGTGTGTGTGTGTGTGTGTGTGCGTGCATGCGTGCGTGCAATTCTTGTTGAATCTTAATTCCAATGACATTTCGTTGACACTCTCATTCAACTAGAAGTCTTATACAAATGTTAAAGTTCAGGGCTAGAATTGCAGCTCAGTTGGTAAAATGTCCCCCCCATGCACAAAGCCCTGAGCTGGGTCCCCAGCACTGTATAAACTGGATACTGTGGCACATGCCTATAATCCCAGCACTGTAGAGCTGGAAGCAGGAGGATCAGAAACTCAGGGCCAACCTCTGCTACATAATGAGGTTGAGGTAGCCTAGGCTACGTGAAACCCTGTCTCCATTTTCTTCAAAGAGAATGACAATACTAGTGAGCACCTTCATACTTCTGAACAGAGCTCTAATCCCTACAACTTTTAGAAAGGGTAATTTGACTTCATGAGTTAAAAGCCTTAAATATTTAAATACCACTTGACTTGGTAATTTCATTTGTATCGATTTTAGCAACTAGCTTAAGAAAATAGGTACAAGAAGATTTATGTTCAGGAATATTTATCTCAGTGTCGTTTTCTTAGGAAAAAAAATTACATGCCAAGCAATTGGAAACTGGCTAAATAAATTTCAGTTTAATCATACAATAGGATACAACTTGCCACTAAAATATACACAGTAGATAAATTTTAGTGACTTGAAAAGTTATTAACAATATACTAATTTTTAAAAGAAAACTGATTTTAAAAAAACACACATGGAAAAGAGCACAAAATAATGATGCTCGTAGTAATTAATTAGTGGGAAAACTAAAGCTTTGTTTTGCTTTCTATTTCTTGTCTAGTATTTATTTTATTACTTTTATATTTATGTGGTGTGTGCCTGTTTGTGTGAGCGTGTGTGTGTGTGTGTGTGTGTGTGTGTGTGTGTGTGCACATGTGCACGCAGGCGCCTGTGGAAGCCAGAAGAGGGCATCCAATCTTCTGAAGCTGTAGTTCCAAGCAGTTGTGAGTCACCCAACATGAATGCTTCCAACCAAAGTTAGTTCTCTGTGAGAACAATGTGTTCTCCTAACAGCTAACCATCTCTCCAGCCCCACTTTCTGGCCATTTCCAGTACTCATTCCACTACTTCTGTCATGACTCTTTGCTGCTTTTATAAAAAATAAAAAGCTAACATTAATTAAAAATTAATTAGCATATAGTCTCACTCATAGGCAACTATATCAGTCATATCCACAGTTTAAATGATAGTAAAAAGGAATCTGTCAGTTACATTACTTCACTTCACAACATTCTGACATGTATTACCAAAAAGGCAGAGCACTTGGGAGATACTTTCAAAGGAAAAGGAAACTCCAAATCCTGAACAATTCACAAGCTGGCGAAGAGAGGTCTGGGGAAGGGAAGTGCTGGGACTCTCTCCTAGGGTTGGTTTCAGATAACAGAATGATATTAGCTTTGGAAAATATTTTCTCTGTCTTGCTATGTCCACAAGTGCTCCACCTGACTTCTGGGGTCCACGCTCGAAGCCTCATGGGCTAACTAAGACAGAGAGATGAGGGAAGGGAGAGAAGCAGGGGCCTTGCTCCATTCCAGAGTGAAGTAAGAATGAACTTGCTTAGAGCAGTTTCTGCATGGGCCCAGAGCTGAGTCTAAGTTGTGTCTTGTAACACAGACCCAGTGGACTAGTTTTATTTTATGGTTATACTAAGATAAAGGTCAGGGAGTGGAATTTAGATAGAGCAGACGAGATGTGTAAAGTGTCCCTCGTCGATAACAAAGCGCTTTCGTATGTATAGTCCCACTGGTCAGATGACAGAAGAAAGACTCCCACTGATGAGTGATTAGGTGGCCATCCCCAGGCACAAACTAGCAAAGCGTGGTCTGATTAGCACTCGAGGTATGGATTTCCTACCCTGAGCTCTCCTTGTTGACTCTGGCTACAGCTTCCTAGCGTCAAGTCCTTTAGAGACGATCACTGTGCTCTATTTTGGGCCACCCTGTGGCATTGTCATCTCCCATCTCCATGCTGATGTTAGTGCAGGGGATGCACTTTAATGAAAAAGGCCAACGAGAACAGCTGAGGACAACCTTGCTCTTCTGCTGACACATTCCAAGCCCGATGGCTATGCAATTGTCATTTGAAACCCGAATCATGTGCCGCCACATATGAAATCTGTGGTTTTCCATGAGATGGACAGCAAACAATCACGTGCCACATTTTACTTTGCTGCCAAGACATCAACTGCCCTAAAAGGGTCAAAGGAATGCTGTGAAACTGTGGATACTGGCCCTCCCTGGCACCGCGGCAGGCATGGCAGGTGTACAGCTGCATGCAGCTGTGTCTTATCACAGCTGCAAAAGTAGCCTTTAAAAAAAAATCACCAAAACTTGTTGCATCATTTCCCTGCCTGTGCCGGACGGAGTCATTGGCCTTCATGCAGTACCTCGTTCCCCAGGCTTTTGCTTAGATGAGAGAGACTAATGACCATCTGTCTGTCTGCAGCCCCTAAAATAAACATCCACCAGACCTTGTTCACGTGAGCTTCCATGCCTACGTGTTTCAGCTGGCACTATTTTTAAAAAGGGATCTATTTTCCCCCTCCTTTTACACTGTACTATCCCTTCTCTTTCAGGGAAATAGTCAACGACTTCATTAGAAAGAGCAAGTGTGGCAGGCATCTCAGCCCCAAAGAGGAAGTTTTAGCCAACAGGAGTGCTATTTATGATTCACCTTCTCGCTTTTCTATTCTAACATTTTCTTTTCCAAAAAGAAGTGTAAAGCCTCAGTAAGTCAAATGGACATTTCCCCAGACATGAAGACTAAAGAGTCTGGCCTTTCTCTGGGTTCTCCGTTTAGAGAATCACTCATGCTCACTAATATTTACTCTTCGTGGAGGCTCTGTTTCTGACTTTCCTTAAAATTCTGTTACCTCTTGGTTCCTATAAGTCTGTCTTTCACACAAGAAAAGCAGGGCTTGGCTCCTTGGAGCGGGGCTTGGCAAGCGCTGAGGCAGGAAACACAGAAGGGAACGAGTCTGTCAGACTCATTTTCTTCTATTTCAAATGTTTATTTCAGATTTGGGAGGAAGTGGAGTGGTTCCTTTCCTTTTCCTAGTATTTGGAACCTACAAGTCGTATAAGGCTTGGAGAAGGGCATTCGACTCTCCACCGTACTCGACAGGTCACCAATGGAGACTTCTAGAAGCCCCCCTCCTACCAGAGCAGAGCACTTAACTCTCTGAGCCCTTGTTGCACCCATCTCCTATGGCTGTAGCCTGGATCCCTGAGATGGGCAACTGAGAGCAAAGTCAAAGGCTCAGCAACATCCCCACTCTGCTGCACCCAAGAGGCTGGGGCCAAGCCTGACTTATCTGAGTAGGAACTCAGCCCAGCCACAAAGCACACCTGAGGCTCCTGCTCAGCCTGATACAATGCCCGAAGGGCTTGCGTGGGATCTGGTCCCAAGCCCGCATACTAAGGTCCTGGGGCGTTCTGCAACTGACACTACGACAGTGTTTTCCGATCTAAGACTTCAGATGTGCTTGCCTTGGCCATAGGTTCGTGTCAGCCTTAAGCACACAAGCATTTCCAATCCATACTCATTTCTCTCATTTTCTTCTTTAGCATCAAGTTACTCAGCTCAGCAGTTCTGCCCCGTGTTTTACTGTCCCTGCGATCAGCAGAGGCCATTGCTAAAGCTGCACAGAGACCACCAGGGAACAAACTAGACCATCCCTAAGGAAAGTTTCCTGCTAACACTAACAGATGTGCACACCTCGGGCTGTGGGAAGCAGGATCAAGGTATAATTTTAGGCACAAATTAGCTATTGACGCTATTTGTGGGCAAAAGCCTTCAGCAAGGGTGAGACCTTGTGACATTTTACACAAATGACCCTGTAGTTGAGTACTTGATAAAGAAACCAAACATTGTAAGTGAGGGAATAATGGGTTGTTGAAGAGGTATCCAGGCCAGAGCGCCTAATCTGATCACATTAGTTTTGTCAAAAGAGTTTTAAAAGAAAAAAATTGACTAATTATCTCTACTTACAGTTTAGAATGTTTTGTGCTATTGTTTGGGACCTACTGATCACAGTTCACTGAGATTTATGTGCACAAATACATGTCTTGATCACAGAAAGTTTAGGCATATATTCATTAATACATAGCTTTTATATTCAATCAACCGTGTTCTGGAAGATACAATACTCCTAAGCTAATTAATTCTTCCATATACTGGAATCCCTCCATCCTGACTTCCATGTTTTGTGACACATGTGGACTGACAATAAGTCTCTTTGACTTAGATAGAGCCCCCATAGTCATTTTAGAAGCTAATAATAATAATAATAATATCCTTTTTGATTGCTGTCTATTTTTAACATCCTCTTTACTGGTCACTAGTTAATACGGCATACTAATTGTAAGCACAGCATTCAATTTTTTTCTTTAAGCCAGGAAAAATTAGGATGAAAAGAAGAAAAGATAAAGAAATATCATAACGCTCACAATAAGATACGCATTCCTGCTGGGAAGATATTTCCCCCGAAGTACATCACAGCCAAGCTATGCCAAGTCGTGTACTTTTCACACACAAAATTATATTGTATCAAATTTGAATTTGTTACAACTGCCACATCCATTAAACCAGCGATAACGAAAATGCAACTCGATATCTGATCTAGTGAGACAGCAACCAACATTAGCTCCCAGCCACAGGAAGACCACCTCCCCTGGCTTCGCTGGTGTCAGCTAAACCCCAGCCAGTTTGTCTTCTCCGGCCATTTTTAACTACCGTGTGATTGTCACGCTTAGGAAATCTTGAAGAAAGTCTCTGGGTGAGGCAGTTTTGTTGGCCATTCTCATCACTCCCCATTTGCCGCACTTAAAATAGACACTTGTACCAGTGTCCTTTCTATTACCCAGAGGAGAAAAAAAAAATCTCATACACACCAGTCCCTTTTCTTTCAGCTCACAGAGAAGCAACTCAATCCAAGCAGTGTTGAAACCTGAGTAGGTCACTGTACACCACGATAAAATTCCCTAATCCCCGGGCCAAATCTCCCCAAGGGGGGCCTCCTCCTGATCCTCCACTTCCCAGGCTGACTTTTCCATTCCTCTCTCCTCTTTCCCCTTTCATTTCCCCTACCTTCAAGCCTTGATATGTGATCCGAGGTGGGAGCTCAGGTTTCCGTTTTTACAGCTTAGGCCCCGCTAGCTGTATACATTCCTTTCTCTCTGCTGGGCAGTGATTACTTACCAGGGCTTAGTTTACACTGGTCCAGATGAAAGCTGTTCAGATGAAGGCAAATACAGCCAAGCTGCCCCAGCGGCACTGATATGAAGCTGTACAAGGCTACATTGTGTTCTCGATGACATTTTGTTGCACACATTTTTATACAGGGCAACCAACTTGTTATGTTACCTTATACTTCAGCTCAGGAAGCTGAAGGGATAATAATACCATGAGGAATAGGGAGGGGCTTTGTTGGTGTGGTGATTAATATTAAAATCAGAAAAAAATATTAATGAGTTCAAAATAACTCTGTGACTTTGAGAATCTACTTTTTAAGTAAGGATATTTGGGGGTTTTTTGGTGATGTTATATTAGAAAAATGCTTATAAAACCACTAGACACCCTGGAATGGTGTACATGGACATGACTGAATGTTGCCAGGGTCTTTCATATTGTTCCAGACTAGAAAGTAAATGCCACAATTGAATCATATGTTGCTTTTTTTAAAAAAGAAAGAACGAAAAGAAAAAGAAAAGAAAGAAAAAGGAAAAAACTTCCCATTTAATGCTACAGATTGAAACAAGGATTAAGACTCCAAATAGTAGAAGCAGTCTGGAGAAAAAAAAATAACATTTTAAAAAGAGGAAATTCTGTGCATCCAGGCTAATCCCACACTCAGTCTTGCAGCATGGGCTGAAAACTGTGTAATTTTCCCCCTTCACACAATGTTGTTTTTGTTTCTTCCTCACTAGTTCAGACAAACATCTGTTATACTGTAGAAGGACAACTATCTCCCAAACCACTGAGTGCGCCTGCAGCCAAAGCCAACAGCACCAGCCCCAAGCACTGAGCACAGTCAGCCTTTATATCCAGCCGGGATAACGTTTCACATGTTTTGATTAAAATTAGCTAATTTGTAATTCTAGAACCTATGAAACTTAAAAGCTGCCATCCATATAGAGGGCATTAGGCAGCATTTGAAAGGGCCAGAGCTATCTGTGATTTCCTAGTGGCCTTCCCTTGTCGGGCCCCCACTGTTCATTTAAGACGACACGGAAAGTAATGTAGAAACACAGGACAAGAGGGAAGGGCCAGACCTGCAGGGCACACTGCCTCATGGACAGAAAACAACTTTTACTTCTTTCTTTCTTCCTTCCTTCCTCTCTCTCTCTCTCTCTCTCTCTCTCTCTCTCTCTCTCTCTCTCTC